GAAGATCTCTCTTTCCAGCCAATAACGTAGGAGGGCCTAATTGTTTATACTCAAATCTGTTTAAATTACTTGTTAGACATTTTATTAAAGCCTTATTGTGTTAAGGTTCCCAGTTTTATAAGAGATGATATAGATTTTATCAACCACCTACCAGAACATATTCAACCTGATATGCCTAATGTCAGTTCATGCAGTGAATTTATACACAAATATATCCGTGGACTTGCGTATAAAAGCGGTTAAATATTCTGGATGTAAATATTTTTACTACAGGATTGTTTTGAGCAAGAATATCTGAGGGATTAAGAATTATACTTCAAAACAATACATTTGCCTTCGAGTAGAGCATTTTATTCAAACCAAAGGAACAGCGATAAAGTGGCTCCCACGTATGCCATTTCAAAAATTTATAACACTTATAAAGTGTTATCAGATAGTTGGAATAATAAGAAAAATAATAATTTACTTGAAAAAAAAGACGTTAATAGCTATAACATCAAAGTGGAAACGATTTTTGGATGACTGTTTCATTCTTTGGAATGACAATATACCTTTATCAATTTTCCACCAATTTATATATTTCACTTGATTCGAACATTAAATTTACCATGGAAAGCAGCGATATGGAATTAATTTCTAGACGTAAATTATTGTCATCAAACAAGTTGATGAAACAAACTTTCAACGGATATCTTCTACAAATCAACTGACACCCACCAGTATTTACATTTTGGTACCTGTCATCATCACACAAAAACAGCAATTCCATACAATCTGGCTAGACGTTTATGTGCTATCGTTAGTGACGAAAACACAAAGATATCCGACTGAAAGAACTTTATACCTTTTAAAACAGGGATATCCTCAAAACCTGATAGATAACGGGATATTGAAAGCCAAAGGATATGAACGGTCAGAATTACTGTCTACAAAAACCAAGGAAAATAAAACGGATATAATTCCATTTGTGCATACCCACAATCCAAGGAATCATAATTTGACCTCCGTAGTACACCAACTTAACAACGTTTTGAAAACGGACCGGTCAAAACAACAAATATATAGAGATGTAAAATTTATTAACAGCAGAAGACAGCCCAAGAATCTTTGAAGAATTCTGTGTTCGTCCCATTTTAAGAATAGTTACAAACTGACTAAGTGTGAAGACGCGCGTTGCGGGACGTGTAGACATATAATGGAAGGATCAACTTATGACTTTAATGGAAGACAATTCACAGTCAATGCAAACATGTCTTGTGCCAGTAAAAATGTAGTATATGTAATTACGTGTGCTGGATGCCAAGAATTTTATATCGTGGAAACGAGTTAATCAATTGCATGCCCACGGTGCGTGTCCACCGACAACATATTAACTCTCCGGAATATCGGCAAATCCCTCTGAGTGAACATTATATATATATATATATAACAATTCATATATATACTTTTTACAAACTTTCAAGTGAAAGTGATATTCAGAGACACTGAGAAAGAAAAACATTTTATACATTTGTTCAAACCTAGACTGAACAATTGAGCGTAATTGTTGTAAAAATTGTACTTATTATTTTCATTCTACAGTTTTCCCGCAAAGTTTGACTATGACGTCACAATAGACGTTTGTATGTAATGTTCCGCTTATTATGACGTTATGACGTTATTTTGCTATGTTACGTATTATAAAGCTTCTGAAGATTTGAAATGAAAGCGCTTAAGCTAAACTAAAGGTTTTCGTGTTTCTTTTTTAAAAAGATTTACCTATATATATATATATAAATATATATATACAGAACAAATCTTTAAGAATGTTCTTCTCAAGAACCACTGGGCCAGGAAAGCTGAAACTTATTATGGGGGCATCCTTAGGTAGTGTAGATATCAGATTGTTAAAATCATGACCCCCGGAGGTAGGGCGGGGCCACAATAGGGAATTAAAGTTTTACATAGTAATTTGTAGAAAAAAATCTTTAAAAATCTTCTTCTCAAAAACCGCTGAGCCAGGAAAACTGAAACTTATGTGAAAGCATCCTTGGGTAAGGTAGATATTAGATTGTTAAAATCATGACCCCCGGGGGTAGGGCGGGGCCACAATAGGGAATCCAAGTTTTACATAGATATATATACAAAACAAATCTTTAAAAATGTTCTTCTCAAGAACCACTGGGCCAGGAAAGCTGAAACTTATGTGGAAGCATCCTTAGGTAGTGTAGATATCAGATTGTTAAAATCATGACCCCCGGAGGTAGGGCGGGGCCACAATAGGGAATACAAGTTTGACATAGAAATGTATGGAACAATTCTTTAAAAACCTTCTTCTCAAAAACCACCGGGCCAGGAAAGCTGAAACTTATGTGGAAGCATCCTTGGGTAGTGTAAATATTAGATTGTTAAAATGATGACCCCCGGGTGTAGGGCGGGGCCACAATAGGGAATCCAAGTTTTACATAGATATATGTACAGAACAAATCTTTAAAAATGTTCTTCTCAAGAACCACTGGGCCAGGAAAGCTGAAACTTACGTGGAAGCATCCTTAAGTAGTGTAGATGTCAGATTGTCAAAATCATGACCCCCGGGTGTAGGGCGGGGCCACAATAGGGAATCCAAGTTTTACATACATATATATACAGAACAAATCTTTAAAAATGTTCTTCTCAAGATTCACTGGGCCAGGAAAGCTGAAACTTATGTGGAAGCATCATTAGGTAGTGTAGATATTAGACTGTTAAAATCATGACCCCCGGGGGTAGGGCGGGGCCACAATTGGGAATCCAAGTTTTACATAGATATATATACAGAACAAATCTTTAAAAATGTTCTTCCCTCAGCAGTAACAATTAGCACTGGGCCAGGAAATCTGAAACTTATGTGGACGCATCCTTCGGTAGTGTAGATTCTAAAGTATGAAAATCATAAAAGGGGAGGGGGTGGGGGGGGCACAATAGGTATAGCAAGAGGGGAAATCTGGTGAAGAACTTCATCACCCAAGTTACTCTGGTGAGCGATGCGGCCCATGGGCCTCTTGTTCATACTTAATATTGTTTATACATTATTTATACACTGCATTGACGACGGATTTTCTCGTTATTTTCCGACCATGACATGGAGTATACGGTGGGTGTGACAGATCGGCAGGGGATGCTCACTCCTTCGTGGCACCTTATTAACGCCCACCCTGCTTTATCCCTTTTAAATATACATAATTCATTATCAAAACAATTCATCTTTTCTTCATCTATTTACTTATGATCGATCATGTTACTGACTTATATATGCTAGTATTTCCAATTTAAGCTTAATTATTTCCATCCTCGTATGATGTCATAGGTTTTTGAGAAAAACATCTGTAATTTATAGTTTAAATTTATACCCAATAGAACAATCAATTTTATATCTTTTGGAAGAATGCTCTTTAATAGGTGTAATCATAAATATTGTAAAGTAAAATAATTTAAAAGATTCTTTCTTTATTTTTTTTACTTAATGATTTATTCAATCTTTAAAAATGTTGAGCAATACTAGTAACTCATTCTTGAGCATCTTCCTAATTTATTATACTTCTAATGTAAAATAGTTTCCCTTACTCAAAATTCAAAATGTTTTGTAAATAGCAAGTATAGTATTTAGGAACTTTCAGTATCAGAATTATGCATTTAAACCAGTTTTTACGAGATTTTTATGATACAGTTTACAAAAAATGTTTTTATGTTGACATATACCTCTGTTTATATATGTCTTTTTTTTGGCAATAGTTTGTAAATTTAAACTATATTAGATGAAAATAAATGCATTTTTCGTACTTTGAACCATTAAATTTTTGAGGGTGGAAAGACCTTAACATGGAATATAAACGTTAAAATGTTAGGCACATTGTAAAATCAATGTTCCGCGAGTTTGGACTCTTAAACGTTTACAAGTCAGATAACTTACTATAGAACATAACAACTCCAAATTATTGTCAACTCAACTTCATCTTTCAAGAAAAATATGCATTTTTCTATTTTAACATGTTGTGATGAAGTTGTCGCTAACTAATCAATTTAAAAAGCGTAAAAAGACTGATTTTTCCTAATTGATAACAAGTAGCATCTCTATCACCTTTATTCTTTAATATACATCGTTAGCTTCAAGAAACTCATTTGTCTTTGCACGCTATGAATGCTTGAATTTATGAATAAAGCACTACAAAAGTTTACAAAAAGTGTAAACTTTTGCACTTACACTATATAAAAATATATTGAGAGAAAAATGACGCATTTGTAAGGAAACATAATTCTGATGAAATTTAATAGTACAGAAAATTGTACAGAATACATGCACTGTGTATAACATATTACCAGTGAAAGACGAGTGGCAAAAATGAATCCTAATCTTTTGCAAAAAAGTCCTTTTCTAAAGAGAATATTCATGAACATAAAAGAAAATATATACATTATGTAACAATGTTTAACTAACGTCTGTCATCTAAAGGTGAATTTTAGACTTGTTAAGAATTGTAACTAAATGCAACAGTGATATTTTTTTTAAATATTAGAAAAGAGCGTTCTAACAGTGTAATTAAATCGCTCATACAGCGAAACTTGCACGAATATAAAGCATGGATTTTCATATCTAACATGTTTTATACTATAAAAACAACTTTAATATCCAAAACCTTAATATAAGAAGAAAAAATTCACAATAAACAAAATTTAATTTTCGCAAAATTATATATATGACAACGCTTATAGCACCTTCTATTAAGTCCTTGTAAATTGTGTGGACTTTTAAAGAGAAGTTTATCTGAAATTCAATGAATGTAGTTCTGGCTGCATTTCATCTCCGGAATTTTTTGTAATTATCAACTTTTCATTTCCGACTTTTTTTTTTCATTTTTCATTTCCGACATTTTTTTGTTTTCATTTTCGACATTTTTTTTTTATTTCCGACATTTTTCAAATACATATGTAGTACAAGATCGGAAGACTTTTAAAGAAAAAAAATCATAAATAAATCATTGAAATCCAATTTTTATCAATATTTTGTAATAAAAATACTTTTAAAATTCCATTTTCACTTACTTAGAAAACATTGAATTGCCACACAGGTAAATTCTGGAAATGAAAACAAAATTATGCTGGAAATGAAAACAAAAAATGTCGGAAATGCTATGCATATTTCCGGTAATGAAATGCAGCGGTAGTTCTAAATCAAAGTGTTTGTTTATTCTTTGCTTTTTTTGTAAGTTAATTAATAGCAGCTTAAACTTAAATATAGAGACAAAAATGTGTTAAAAGGGCAACAGCATAGAGAATACAATTTTAAAAGGTAATTCATCTGTAAGCATTTATATCTACAATTAAAAATGCAGCTTTTTAAAGTAAATGTATAATGCAAAATACAGTTGTACGAACAGTTTAGCATTGTATTAACATATTTTTTTCAAATATTAAGTTTCACCAAAATAGAAACTACAAAAATAAATACACAAAAGTAGATTATCATAGAAGATATGAATATATAACAAATCCTCTCATGTACTTTTACTGTGTTTTACTGATAACTTTGAATTCCTTTAATTTGTAATTCTTGCAATAACCAACTTTTTCATGGCACATCAACATTTTCTGTAAAATTAAAATCAAATGCATTAAATTTGTGAGTTTTATTCCTAACACATAAAGTTAATTAATTAAAAGACATAAATATATACTCACTATTTTAGTACGAGTTGTTAAAATCTAGTCTATTTCCTACAATAAATAATATATGGAAATGTATTAGACATGATTGATAGTAGTTTGAATTTACTTAACTTTAAAGGCAAAATAGTCTTGTTTTACAATTATAAACTTAACAAAAGTTTTAATACAAAGTGAAACTTGCAGGATTTTTTTTCATAATCATGGAATCTGTGTTTCCAAAATAGATTTAAACAATTAATATATTTTTTAAGGTTGCCAAAAAACTATATCTTCAGATCTTTATCAAAAGTTTAATTTTCCTTTAAAATAAAGTTCCAACATTTTTCAGTGTGTTCAAATTATTGTTAATGATCTTAATGAAAAGTACAATTAAACTATTCTAGCAAAGCATATACAGGTACTTGTATATTAGCTAGGACAAAGTAGGAAAACATATAGTGTTGCATCTATTTCATACAATGTGACCATTACAAGCAATGCTTCATCTGATTTCAAGGCTGGGTTGACATATGGACATATACATGTAACATGTTTGACACCAACCTAGACAAAAGCACCAAATTTAAAGGTCATTGTCTGATGTTGATTGATAGTTCGGCCTAGACCTCTCATCATCATTCACGAATCCCTAGTGAAATTTTGGATTGCATATTATACTTGCAACACTAATTGACAATCTTTAGCAATTAATAAAGTGAATTTACGTTGATTCTTTTTTAAAAAGTTAATGAAAATAATTTTTTGAATATATTTTGAACAAAAGAAAATTTCATTCATAGTAATAGACCCTTCAGAACAGGATGAACCTTTCTTAACCCCAGTACAGTCCAGAAGGTTTTTCAACTCAATTTTTCTAATACTGTAGAAGTACTTTTTTCCGCGTGGTATTAATTTATGCTATGTACACGGACACAAATTTTCCGCGGAAATTTGTACAAGCGTAATTAATATAAATGCAAGGCATATAGCGATAGTCTGAGAAATCTGCGTAATTTTCAATCGCCAGATTAAACAGAAATTGAGATTCCACAAAATTATGACTCCGTGGAAAAAAGTACGTTTACAGTATATATAATAGACTGAGTCGGGAGAGGGCAACCAAACATTTCTCTAAAGTTGGCCTTAAATATCTGACTAATGATAACATTAACTATCAAGAATTTATATAAAAAATAATGATACTTTATAACAAACATTTTGAGGCAACTTACTTTATATGCATCATCTCCAACAACTTCCAAGTATTTTTTCTCCTTGTAAATATGTCTGGCCTTTAGAACATAAAGTACTACAATGTCACAAATCACTGTAGCCTACAAAATAAAACATAAAACATACAATCCTTATACACTTACATGTATTTAGACATATTATTTTCCTTAACTATGTTCTCTAAATTTTCACTGAACTCAAACAACTTTTACGTTCATCACATTTATGTCTCGTTTTTTTTTTGAACTTCTAAAGGAAAATTTACATTTAATGGTATAAACCTGTAAACCTGTAATAAAACCTCCAGTTTTATTATAAAAATTATATTGCAGTCCCTTCTTGAACTCATGTACAATAGGTTAAACAATTTGGAATTAACAATGAATGCAAATATCATCAATTTGACAAGACATCTACACTAAACTTTCTTGCAAAGATCCATGCATTCAAAAAATTAAAAACTTGTTAACTTACTATTGACAATAGAGCAAGACCACTTCCGATATTCGTTAAAAATGGAACAGGTGCGAATTTCCGCCCCTGTCCTGACACAGAAATCACAAACTTTATTCCATAAGCTTTATAAAGTGTCCTGTATTCTGTTCCATTTTCAAATTTAAAATTTTTGGAATATCTGTAAAATAAATATCCTTGACTTTAATTATGCTTAAAATAAATATTGTAATACTTATAGTGTGTTGTTGAAAAAAAACCCCATAAAATCCAGAGTATACATGAATATAAAAATGTCTCAAATTCAAAAAAAAGTAATATATGCTATATTCAGTTATATATCAACTTCTTACAAATATTCATAAGCACAGAAAACATAATAGCGTTAGAAAAAAGATTGCACCTGAAGTTGTATCCCTTTGATATTTTGTAGGTACTGCTGTCCAGTCTCCTAAAGCTGTATTCAGGTAGACATTTATCTTCTGACAAATCCAAGTTACAGTTCCACTTAATCTTCACCTGAATCACACCTCCCTAGTCAAAATAACTATAACTGTTAATCAAACTAGAGAAGAAAGAGGATTTAGACTAGAAAGAAGTAATAAAGTTCAAAACTTATAACATGATGAAAAGGTTGAAAACCCAGTCCCACTTTTATCCGATTTCTTGCAGTAACATGTTACAGAATTTAATATGTTCATTTTCAGTATTGTTGACATAAATGTTAATTTATAAACCATATTTTAATGATTAGCTATTGTTGAAAATATTTGACATTTTGCCACAATTTGACTTCAGGGATCAAGAAGAGGGTTTTAAAATGTACATATATTGTATTACGGCTGAGAAAATTTTACCCCTTTAATTTTATTCTTGCAGTGCTAGCAAAATAATATCATTAACCTACATCAGAAATTAGATACGTTGTGTGTTTATAATATCGGGTATATTATTATTATTATATTATTTAAAGAAATAAGTTTTGGGTAATGTAAACAAAATATAGAATTTCAATCAGAGAATGAATACAAATGTTTCAGTCAACAACCTAATTGTAGTAAATCACAATTTCTTGTTACTTAAGAAAATCTTAATTTATTTAAAATGGGCTTTCACATTGATGGTTGAAATTTTGTTTTAAAAACTTAATTTAATTCAGAATGGGTTATTTAATATTCACATTTGAAATTTTGAAAATATGTGACTGAAAGCATTTAAACTGAATTACCTCAGAAGCTAATTCTTCATATCTACCTCCGGCGAGATTTACAATATCACTCAAAACAAAAATAGGACAATACTTCAATACTGGATCATCCAGATTGTATCGGCATTTTGACAATTCTTCATTTGATTGAAACCCCAAGACATTTCTCCTGCAAATGCACACAATCACCTCAATTCAACAGAAGTTTTCAAAAATTAAAAATGCCTAGAAAATCTCATCAACCAAACATTATACCGCCTATTCTGAAACAGAAAGAAAACCATTTTCATCTCAAAAACCTGCACTCTGAAAATCCGACAAGCAATTAAAACGAATTTTCTTTTATCAAATATATCCTTAACCAAAAGATTTATTTATCTTTCTGCTTGTGTTTCAAATAGTTTCAATATATCTTCTCTTTTACAGGAACATTCTCTTATCAAATATATGCTAGACCAAAAGATGTGATTATCTTTCTTATTTAGCTTCAACTAGTTCATATATCTCTTCTCTTTTAGAGGAACATTCTGAACAAAATTAAAAGAAAAGATAATAAATAACGATTTAGCCTAAATGACAATAAGTTCAATTTTATTAAATGAAAAGCAATCTTTACGTTTGAAGATGCATAAAAAACAAGAGGCCCAGGGGCCACATTGCTCACCTGAGTCTTTGGTTAGGAAAAAAGCAAAAATCAGTTTAATAGTTTTAAAAAGCTTAAATGCATGAGTGGTCCCAACCTACCCCTAAAAGGCAGAAGGGGTTAGGTGGAAGGGGTATGGTTTGAACAAACTTGAATCTACACTATCAGAGGATGCTTCCAAATAAGTATAACAAACCATGGCTTTGCGGTTATTGAGAAGATCATTTCCTATTTACATGTTTTCCTATGTTAAACTTTGATTGTCCATTGTGGTCCCACCCTATCCCCAGGGGTCATGATTTGTACAAACTTGAATCTATATCATTCGGAGATGCTTCCATACAAAATATGACTAATAATGGCTTCACCGTTCTTGAGAAAAAGATTTTTTTAAAGATTTAACCTATATATTCCTATGTAACTTTGATCGTCCATTGTGGCCCCATCCTACCCCCAGGGGTCATGTCTTGAACAAACAAGAATCTACACAACCTGAGGATACTTCCATGTAAATATCACTAATTATGGCTTTGTTGTTTTTGAGAAGACAATTTTTCAAGATTTCCCCTATACAATCCTAGTATATAAAACTTTGATCGTCCATTGTGGCCCCACCCTACCCCCGGGGGTCATATTTTGAACAAACAAGAGGCCCATGGGCCACATCGCTCACCTGAGAAGCTTTGACCATTCCGTTCTGTAACAGATTCCCCCCTTGTAATACATATTGTGACCCTACCCAAATGATCATAATTTAAACAATTTGAAATCTACACTACCATAGGATGCTTTGATTCAACATTGTACAACTTTGATTCCCTATTGTGGCCCCGCCCTACTCACGGGGGTCATGATTTGAACAATTTAGAATCTACAATACCCCAGGATGCTTCCACATAATTTTTAGCTTTTCTGGCCCAGTGGTTCTTGAGTAGAATATTTTCAAAAATTGTTCCCATATATTTCTATGTAAAACTTTGATTCCCCATTGTGGCCCCGCCCTATCCCTGGGGGGTCATGAATTTAACAATTTAAAATCTACACTACCCCAAGATGCTTCCACCTAAGTTTCAGCTTTTCTGGCCTAGTGGTTCTTGAGTAGAGGATTTTCAAAGATTTTTCCCATGTATTTAAATGTAAAACTTTGATTCCCCATTGTGGCCCCGCCCTATCTCCGGGGGTCATGATTTTAACAATTTAAAATCTACACTACCCCAGGATGCTTCCACCTAAGTTTCAGCTTTTCTGGCCCAGTAGTTCTTGAATAGAAGATTTTCAAAGATTTTACCTATGTATTTCTATGTAAAACTTTGATTCCCCATTTTGGCCCCGCCCTATCCCCGGGGGTCATGAATTTTTACAATTTAGAATCTACACTACATTAACATGCTTCCACGTAAGTTTCAGCTTTTATGGCCCAGTGGTTCTTGAGAAGAAGATTTTCAATGACCCCACCCTATTTTTGTCTTTTCTTGATTATCTCCCCTTGTGAGGGGACTTGGCCCTTCATTTTAACAATTTAAATTCCCCTTTATCAAAGGATGCTTTGTACTAAGTTTGGTCAAAATTTGCCCAGTGGTTCTTGAGAAGAAGTCGAAAATATGAAAAGTTTACAGACAGACAGACGGACGGACAGCTAGACAGACGGACGGACGACGGACAAAATGTGATCAGAAAAGCTCACTTGAGCCTTTGGCTCATGTGAGCTAACAACAAGAGACCCATGGGCCACATCGCTCACCTGAGAAGCTTTTACCATTCTGTTCTTTGCCAGATTTCCCCCTTGTAATACATAATGCATCCCCACCCTATCCCACTGATCATAATTTAGACATTTTGAAATCTACACTACCCTATGATCCTTCCATGTGCACATAAGTTTCAGCTTTTCTGGCCCAGTGGTTCTTGAGAAGATTTTCAAAGATTTTTCCTATATATTTCTATGTAAAATTTTGATTCCCCATTGTGGCCCCGCCCTTACCAGGGGGGTCATGATTTGAACAATTTAGAATCTGCACTATACCAGGATGCTTCCACATGAGTTTCAGCTTTTCTGGCCCAGTGGTTCTTGAGAAGAAGATTTTCAAAGATTTTTCCTATATATTTCTATAAAAATATTTTTAATTCCCCATTGTGGCCCCGCCCTTCCCCCGGGGGTCATGATTTGAATAATTTAAAATCTACACTATACCAGGATGCTTCTACGTAAGTTTCAGCTTTTCTGGCCCCGTGGTTCTTGAGAAGAAGATTTTCAAAGATTTTTCCTATATATTTCTATGTAAAACTTTGATTCCCCATTGTGGCCCCGCCCTTCCCCCGGGGATCATGATTTGTACAATTTAGAATCTACAATTTACCAGGATGCTTCCACATAAGTTTCAGCTTTTTTGGCCAAGCGGTTCTTGAGAAGAAGATTTTCAAAGATTTTTCCTATATATTTCTATGTAAAACTTTGATTCCCCATTGTGGCCCCGCCCTTCCCCCGGGGGTCATGATTTGATCAATTTAGAATCTACACTACCCTAGGATGCTTCCACATAAGTTTCTGCTTTTCTGGCCTAGTGGTTCATGAGAAGAAGATTTTTTAATGACCCCACCCTATTTCTGTCTTTTCTTGATTATCTCCCCTTGTGAGGGGACTTCGCCCTTTACTTTAACAATTTAAATTCCCCTTTACCTAAGGATGCTTTGTACCAAGTTTGGTCAAAATTGGCCCAGTGGTTCTTGAGAAGAAGTCGAAAATGTGAAAAGTTTACAGACGGACAGACAGACAGACGGACGGACGATGGACAAAATGTGATCAGAAAAGCTCACTTGAGCCTTCAGCTCAGGTGAGCTAAAAATCTACACTACCTGAGGATACTTCCATATTAATGACAACAACGACTTCAACAACAATGACAACATACAAATTTTGATTAGAAAAGCTCACTTGAGCCTTTGGCTCAGGTGAGCTAAAATGCACAGTTTTTTTTCATGCAGGGTGAAATGTGCATATGCAGGAGAAATTATGATAAATCGTTTCATTTTAAGTTCACTAGTCCGTAATCTTAAATACTCTAGACTACCACATATGACCCCTTTCTGTTGAACTTTTGAAACATCATGTGACAGGATGGCAGAATAAAAGAAAAGAATACAATTTTTGTCAATTTCTTGGATTGATATTCATTAAATTAGTATTACCAAGATTACTTAAACAGAGTGGTTTATATATTTTTCGAAAATAAAAGTTCGATGTCAAATGTATCTTTCGCAAAAGATTTAAGCTGCCCGTACGAAACAGTCCGGGCGGCTTCGACACGGCTCAGGCACGGATTCCGTCTCCAGAAACCCGTGCTTTAGCATTCCGTGCTCCTATGTAAAATATGTATGGAAAGCCGTGCCTAAAAGTGGTCGAGGCACGGACACGGCACGGGATATTGGCCGAAATATTTAAATGAGATCACACGGTTTTACAAAACCCGTGTCAGAAAGCCGTGCTAGTTTCCATATATGGACTCACGGATTTTGTAAATCCGTGTATGAAACCCGTGTCCTTTTCCATATATGGAGACACGGTTTTTTGGAAACCCGTGTCAAAAAAGCCGTGCCATATACCATATAAGGAGTCACGGGATCTGTGCATTTGTTTAGATCTAGGTCATGGCCTTGAGAGAACCCCCTGATGTAACTGTGGATGCCAAAATGGTGACTGAAACCAAAATAACTTCACATTGCTTTACATTAATGCTTAGTTTTAGAATTTTAAAAGTTAAAAATCTTGTATGAATGTGTCCATTTACTTTCTGTTAAAGATTAACTTTATCAATTACAATCCATGCTAGTTTTTAATTAAGATTTTAATGATAATGTACAATATTAAATTATAATTTAATCTAGTTGCTAAGTTTGCACAATCTGAGAAAGAATTTAGTTTAAATAAAACTTTCACTAGCTAGCACAGTGATGTCACATAAAATATATACTATAAAGGATTGGTGAAAGTCCAACTAAAGTCATTCAAATAAACCTAAACTATGTCATCATGTTCATTGTCAACATTGCAATACAAGAAGATCATGAAAATTGAAAATTGACTTATTTATTCTAGATTACACTTACTGCATTTAGTTCAAAAGTGAAGAAATTATCCCAGACTGACACAAATACAATTCCAACTGACATCTATTAGTTTAATATCCTTTAACTAGAGTAAAAAGACACATTCTTAGCTCATGACCATGAATCCCTCCAATTTAATATTCAAATAAAGGAAGTTATGATTGAGCATGCTCAGTAAAAAGCCGTGAGATATAAATAAATAGTTTGAAGCAAAACCCGCCTGAGTTAAAAACCGTCTCCCAGGGACACAGATTCCGTGCCTTCACACGGGATTCTGTGAGTGAGGATTCCTCACTTTCAGACACGGAAGCCGTGTCCGTGTCTTGGACATGCAGAACCCGTGCGGCTTTTTAAAAACCCGTGCGGATTCCGTGTCTTAGCCGTGCCCAAGCCGTGCCTATTCCGCCTCAAACTTTCGTACGGGTCAGAAATCATCATAATATGCTTGTAAAAATCTAAATCTTGATGTGACTTTTAAATAATTGTATGTATTGTTGTGATACTTAAACTATATTATCAGAATTTTATTAAGAAATGTTTTTTTCCAGTAACGCTCTGTTCTGTTCAGATATATAAACCTTTCAAGATTGGAAAGATCAAATATGACACTCAGAATTGTTAATTGTTATATTGCTGAAGCAATTAAAACATAGGTAATCAGAGATTACAGAGCTCACCTCAACGAATGTTGTCTTTAAATAAGGCAAATTCACACAATTAACCAACAAAAAGTGTACATTCCAAAAATGAAAATATTTAAGCAATTTTGATCTGATACTTTGAAATAGACCTACATAAAAAATTTAAACTAGTTCTTCTTCATGAAAATGTAATCAAAATCCAGCATCTGAAGCAAATTTGAGAATTTTCATCTCTTGATGAAAACTTTAACCTGTTCACTCCACCGGAAAATGTAGGTCAGATTCAGCATCCGAAGCAAGCCCGGTAGTGTGCATCCTTAGATGTATCATCCATGCAAGTTTGGTCAACATAGGGCTTATAGTTACTTGGAAATGAAACATGCACCAAAAACTTTAATCTGTTCACTCAACTGGAAAATGTAGGTCAGATTCAGCATTTGAAGCAAGCCCGGTAGTATGCATCCTTAGATGTATCATCCATGCAAGTTTGGTCAACATAGGGATTATAGTTACTTGGAAATGAAACATGCACCAAATACTTTAACCTGTTCACTCAACCAGAAAATGTAGGTCAGATTCAGCATCCGAAGCAAGCCCGGTAGTATGCATCCTTAGATGTCTCATACATGCAAGTTTGGTCAACATAGGGCTCATAGTTACTTGGAATTGAAACCTGCACCAAAAACTTTAACCTGTTCACTCAACCGGAAAATGTAGGTCAGATTCAGCATTTGAAGCAAGCCCGGTAGTATGCATCCTTAGATGTATCATCCATGCAAGTTTGGTCAACATAGGGCTTATAGTTACTTAGAAATGAAACCTGCACCAAAAACTTTAACCTGTTCACTCAACCGGAAAATGTAGGTCAGATTCAGCATTTGAAGCAAGCCCGGTAGTATCCATCCTTAGATGTATCATCCATGCAAGTTTGGTCAACATAGGGCTTATAGTTACTTGGAAATGAAACATGCACCAATAACTTTAACCTGTTCACTCAACCGGAAAATATAGGTCAGATTCAGCATCCGAAGCAAGCCCGGTAGTATGCATCATTAGATGTATCATCCATGCAAGTTTGGTCAACATAGGGATTATAGTTACTTAAGGAATAACTGTCTTATTTTTTGAATTCATGAAGTGATCAATGGATTGGCTTGTGTGATAATTTGCATAAAAGCCGAAGGCGTTTATGCATAAAATTATCACACAAGCCAATCCATTGATCATCTTCATGAATTCGAAAAATCTGACAGTTATTCCTTATATTTACATGCTTTGATTCCGCCAATCCACGGGCTCCAAACCTGCTTCTCTCTAGGTGTTGCCCCGCCCTGCACGTGGTTTTTTTTTGGAACCGCGCCAAAACATTCATGAGGAAATAAATTACATTTACAATTGGTAACTTTATCTCGGACAAAGACACTGGAAATGTAAATATTTGGAAATGAAACCTACACCAAAAACTTTAACCTGTTCAATCAACCAGAAAATGTAGGTCAGATTCAGCATCCGAAGCAAGCCCAGTAGTATCCATCCTTAGATGTATCATCCATGCAAGTTTGGTCAACATAGGGCTTATAGTTACTTGGAAAAAATGAAACCTACACCAAAAACTGCACCAAAAATGTTAACCTGCTCCAAAAACATTAACCTGGTCATTCCTTTGCTGAAATTGCAGCATCTGAAACTTTGACTGATACAATGAAACACACTAGAACCATCTTCCATGCATGTCTAATCAATATAGGACATAGAAGTACTTAAAAAGAAAACTGCTCCAAAAAACTTAACCTTAACCTGGGACGCCGACGCCGACGTGGACGCCGACACCGACGGTATTACATAAGCTCCCCCAACTTCGTTGAGGTGAGCTAAAAATGCAAAAAAAAAACAAAAAAAAAAAAAAAAAAAAAATGGTATGAAGAAGCTTTAAATCTTGTCGACCTATGCATCTTGTTCAAAAATAATCAAAATTCAGGGTTTAAATATGTATCATATATATAAATATCATTCCCTCTTTGGACAAGGAAATACTTTTATACATACACGTATTTATAACCATGCAGAAAAAATTAATTTGTCTCATTTCTCATTTGGAAGCTGCATATATTCAACTTCTTTTGTATCTTACATGTATTAAAGGTGCCTGGATATAGATTTAAAGGTAATATATTTTCTTAAATTTTCGGTAAAATATGACTTTTATGTTGCTATAACATTTCATATTGAAATATTAATAAAAAACTTTATATCTGGAAATAGTTGAAATCTTGAAGATGTGTATGATTGACACATCCTTGCCTTTCACAAAGTAAACTTTATCCTTCATACTTAAGAAAAGGAGAAAATCTGTTGTGTATTAATGAAAATTACTGAATTTATAAACCAGACTATTCGGAGTAGAAATGCGAGAAGTAAAACTAACTCACCAGTATTATCAGTCTGTGTTCAGTGATGTGTGTAGAGCTTAAGAAATTGAACAAAGCTGGTGAAACAGAAACATTAATGATAACAGAGCTTACAGTCCTCTGTCTGCAAAAACAGTTTATGTTTCAAGGGCATCTTCAATTTGATAAACTCTTCTTACATTACCGAGTACTAACTGACAATATTGGTGAGTTAGTTTTGCTTTCTCAAATTTCTACTTTGAATTTTCTGGCTATAGTTTTTATTATTTTTCATCAATATACAACAAATTTTCTCCTTTTCTTAAGTAGGTACTTTATCACTATAATAGGATTAGATTCAATGAAATTGAAAACGTTACAGATGTGTAGGTGTGAAATACAATATATTTAGACATAATTCCCATTTATTACTATTAGCAGGTAAGGGTGGGATGTGTCCTTTTATGACCTTGAATTTTGGTAAAAGTTAACACTCTCTGATTTAAATTAATAATTTTTATTTTTTTTTTAAACTTATCTGGTTAAAAAATCGTTTTCTATTCTCATTCTATTTATAATTTTGAACAATGCATCTTTCCACCACAGGATTAAATGATTTCTTTTATTTGAATGTATATTTAAAAAAAAATTCCCCACATACTTCAATGCAATCTTTGTTAATAGCTACTGCTTAGTAAATTAAATTTTTGAAACTTTCTCCTTGTAAATCCTTTCTACTGAAAATGCTTAAACTTAATATCAGAGTATTATGTACATGATTGACATTTAAGGATACAGAATTTTGGTCCTATACATGTAAGGGTTGGAAATCCTTGAGCATAGTTTACTTTGTGAAAGTGCAATGATATATCAATCAAATCACATATTCTAAAATTCATTGTTTCAATAATTTCTAGATAAAATATATTTTTATATAATTTCTGTGTGAAATGCTATAGCAACATATACTAATATGTCAAGATATTATACTGAAAATTTGAGAAAACATTAACTTCAGATCTGTTTCTAGGCACCTTTAAGACATATCTAATCTAACCCAGTCAAAGATACAGAGAGGGATATTAAAATGTTTGTATTTATAAGTTTTACATACCACATGTGGATTATAAAACTCTTGCATTTGAAAAAGAATGAAAAGATAGTCATAGGTCACTCCAAAGTGATTTAATCAAAAGTCTTTAAAGAGTAGTTTGAGCTTCACTTCAAAACATTATAGTGAATACTTTTTTTTTTTTAAATAGAATAATCTTAAGATCAAATTCAACTTTGTGAAGATTTTTGAGATGAATAATTAGTTATGCAAATGCAATTTTGGATAACTTTCAATAAAATGAAAAAGCAAATATAGCAAAAATACAGAAGCCCATTCGGGAACTATCAAAAATGATTTTAGAATTTGATATAATGATTTTTTAAACTTGTTACAATGAATTCCATTCATTTTAACAATTTCAAAAGTTTGTTATAACAATTGAAAGAATTGTTTCAAACAATTAACATGTATAAGAGTTTGCTTAAAAAAAAGGTTGATTTGTAATAACAAATTTTTTTAATTCCTTTTAACAAATTCATCAAATTTGTAACAGATAGATTAAACTCTTTATAACATATTCAACTAAATTGATATTAATCTTATTCTATCAAAATTCATTATATTGAATTCAAAGATATCATTTGATTCATGTAGATCCTAAATCATAGTAGATGGGCTTCCATAAAATATCTTAGTATTTTGGGGTTTTTTTCCTTCTTGGTCTCATTAATCAAAATCAAAAGGTGTACAATGGCAGAAAATGATTCAGATTTCAGCTGTACCTCTGCTGCTACATCACGGTATGATCCACTATTAGCTCCCTCTACAATGGACTGAAGAGTAAAAATTGGACATCTCGAGTTGGGTCCTCCATCGTATCTACAGTTCTGTAGATACTCGTCACTCACATTGTCTGGTAAATTACGCCTGCATCATTTAAATCTTTATTATTATTATGTGTCGCCCAACAGAAAAAAAAAGTATTTAAGGAGAAGATCAAAAGATTTATGCCTGATTGTAAAAACCTTTGCTTAGAGGATGTAAAAATACCAATTTTTTTTCATATATAACATAAATAAATTACATAAAAGAGTGCATACTGTACATGCCATGACTCTTTAATTTTAACTTGTTGTTTTTTTCTGAATATTTTCTAAATATGATAAATTACAAAACATAAAATACTTGTTGTTTTAGTGCAACAAATCAAATTTGAATTGAAATTCTATGGATAATGGCTTTTGATGGAAACAATTTGAAATAAGTTTTTTGTCAGACAATAAAAACCTTCATTCAAACCCAAAATATACAAAGTAGACACAAATCAAAGACTCCATTCTCTAAAAATTTCTTTTCTTCTCGAGATAAAATCATAGTCAATGCTGAAACCATAATAAAAACAAATGCTGCAAGTACCACATTTTCAAAATGTGGTCATATTAAGAACATCATGCATATTATATCATGCATCATAACATTAACCAATATGTAAAGGCAAAAAAAAAAAGAAGATATGTGTAATTTTAACATTACAAAACATGCTTATCAGGAACACCTGCATTTGTCAAACAGAAATGCACAGGCAATAAAATATAAGCAGATAGTCTTAAAACAGAGTGGTCTCTGTTCCTGGTGGGTTTATCATCATTATCATGAAAATAATGATTAATTTATTACATAAATAGTAATATTTTACTATCAACATACTGTAAAATGAGAAAATTTGGCGCACAGGTATTTTAGCGCAAATGCAAGTGGGAATGCATTTGCGCAAATAAATTTTAGCTCTTGCATTTGTCATTTAAATGTATAAATGTGATATTTTATTTTTTATCTACACCCGTATTTGACATTTTAGTTTGTCAAGCACGGAAAAACAATAGCATCCCGTATATAAGTAAACATTCGTCAATTTTACCTTTGAGTTGCAATCATATTGACATGGCACATTGTTAAAATTTATTTTAATTTTATTTTAAATAAAAGAAAATGTAGAGTATTTTCGCATTTTATTCATATTTAAACAATGCATGCATTGAACGAAAGTTACTTGGATAAACGGTCATCATAATTAGTGCTGTGCGATATTACCGGTTAACCGGTGTATCCCGATTTCGTTCTTCACAATACGTATCGCGGTATTTTTTTGTGAATACCGGTTCCGGTTCGATATGCTATAAATTGTTACAAAAAGAGTTATTTGCCATTTTCAAGGTAAAATATGGCGGCAAGCAACGTGAAGTGTGATCAAGAGACACGTCTCTTTCAAAACCGAAACGACGACAACTGTTATATTAAACCCCTTCATGTTAAAGCTGAATCTGAGTGTTACAACTTACTCGGTAATTGAATTCAACAAGTTGTGCTACAAAAAAAATTATTTTGCCACTTTCGCCGACATAACGCGATCAGGCAATTGGAATATCAACTCGAAAATACATGTAATTTGAGTTTGTGTTTTCATTTAACCTTGACGAAAAGCAAAAAAATTATTAATTATTTATATCGTGATATATTGCAATACAAAATATAATATTGCAATATATCACGATACGATTTTTCAGTCGCGATACCCAGCACTAATCATAATCAGGTATTGTCTGCAAGCTCAATCACAATGCTTGATTGCATTGTTTACCTCGCGATCGAGGCGATAGATGATTGACACACCCAGAAGCCAAACTTTGAAGGTGTTAATGATAAGCAACGGTTAACAACTACGATGGTATAAACAATAGTTTAATTAAATTATAATTTGGCAGAACTTTCTCGATAGATTCTACCATGTACAGTGCTAGAGTGTATATAAAATCCAATGACCTTTCAGCATTACGTAATTGCGCGTTCTGATTTACATTTACTTATAAATGTGAAAGCTTTGAACACACACAAAATATAATATTTAGAGAAATCCGTTAGCGCACAATGAATTTTAGCATTCAGGGGCTCTTGCGCCAAAGGCGCTAAAATTAGTAGTGTGCTAAATATTCTCGTTTTACAGTAATTAACAAAAATTATTGAATAAAATTTAAATTTCATGGAAAAAAGTTTGGTATACTTTACAATTGACTGTACCTACCTTTTGACATTATATTTTGGAAATTCTATGTTATTTTTAATGAATACTGTAAAATCTTTCGAATTCTCCAAAATTGCTGGTTTTGGTCTGAAATATAAAACTGAATTTTGAGGCCGTGTCAGTAACCATTGAGATTTACATGGAAAGTCAAAAATTTTGAATTGGGCAAAAACCACCCTAATATATTTGAACAACAACAAAAAACACATTTAAGACAAATTTTACAAATTTATTCATCATCATTGGTTTCCATGGCAACAAATGTGATTTGCATAGTAAATTCTCAATGAAACATTGTAAAATAATACAAATTTAGACATATTTAAATGCAGAGGGGGGAACAATTGGAAGGTCTAAATTTGTTTTCTTATACTGAAATAATGAAAGATGCATCAGAAGAAAATATCTTTATGTCTATAAGTATTTTTAAATATTTTGAAATGGTTGCTATGGCAACCGAAAAATGACAAGGTTTTCATGATGGGAATATCCATGGAAAATTAAGTTTTTCAAAAGTTGAATACTTAAAAACGCAACAACCGTAGATATTGTATGTCATACAAAGTTAAAGATATATCCCAATACTATGAAATAATAAAATAAAAATTGGTAGTCGGATGTCCCAATTTTTTTTTTTCAGAAATCAAAATTTGCATTTTTTTCAAAACACTTTCAATGGATTTTCGCAAGTTTTGGCAATTTTTTTTTTAATATTACAACAGATATTTAACAGTTAGATGCCATATCTACAGAAACATAGTACTTTAGAAAAAACTCCATAAAATGTACGACTTTTTTACAAAACAATAGGAAAAGTAATCTCCATAGCAACGGAATTTATACCCTAGCAACTGACTTGACTAGGATCGGCAAAACATGAAACATACACCCAGGAAATTAAAGCCTCTCAAGTGGAATATTTGGGTCATGGCATCCTGATCAACTGTCAACCCTGTTGTACTTACCCCATCATATAAGTAATAATAAGTACCATTGCTCTACAATGTCTAATAGTTATACAATATAGTCAGAATGTGGACCAAATACGCAAAAACTTGACCATATATGACATAACAAAAGCTGAAGTTATATGTCAAAATGACGCAATGTTCAACCCAAAGGGACTCCAATGCTGTCTACTGGCTAATTTACATTGCTGTACCATGTTTATTATTCAAGTTATAAACCTAAAAACAACTAGAACTGTCCAAATGGGACAAAATACCCCCCACTGGGTTTTTCAGAAGCGCTAAATCATGAATATTTTATGGATCTAAGAGAAGAGAGAAAAGCTAAAACATTTTAGTGCATATGTAATTGCTCATTAATATTTTTTATAAATGAAACGAAGGTGCAGCCTAAAAAATAGACTAAATGTATGGATCACACATGAATTATGATTTTTTTTTTGTCAGTGACCTTGAACTTGCATAAATGACCTTGGTTTAAAGTCATGACAAGTTCTCAGGTCAAAGCAATGTTTGTGTAAAATGGGAACCTTCCAAGTTTATCCATAAGAAAGATATGGACCAGACATGAATTATAATTTTTTTACTGTCTGTGCCCTTGAACTTGGACAATTGACCTTGGGTCAAAGTCATGACACACCCTTATGTCATAAGTAATCTTTGTGTAAACAAGAAAGTATCCAAGTTTATCAATAAGAATGATATGGACCAGGCACAAATTATGAAGTTTTTCCTTTCAGTGACATTAAACTTACACAAAGAACCTTGGGTCAAGGTCATGACACATCCTCAATACAATAAGCGATTTTTGTGTAAAACAGGAACTTACCAAGTTTTTCCATAAGACAGATATGTACAAAACATGAATTATGAACTTGTTGCTTTTATAACCTTGAACTTGCATAGATAACCTTGCATCAAGGTAATGATACACCCTTAGGTTATAAGGAATCTTTGTGTGAAATAGGAACTAACCAGTTTATCCATAAGCAATATATGGACCATGCACATATTAAGAAATTTTCCTTTCAGTGACCTTGAACTTAAATAAACTTTGCTGAAGGTCATAACACACCAGGTCATAAACCCTCTTTGTGTGAAGTAGTAGATTCAAGTTAATCCAAAATAAAGATATGTGCCAAACATGAATTTTACAATTTTTCTTTTAGTGACCTTGAACATGCACAGATGACCTTGGGTCAAGGTCATGACACACCCTTAGGTCATGAGGAATCTTTTTGTAAAATGGGAACTTACCAAGTTAATCCATAAGAAAGATATGGAACGGACACAAATAATGAAATTTTTCTTCCAGTGACCTTGAACTTCCCCAAATGACCTTGAGTCAAGGTCATGACACACTCTTAGGTCATGAGCAATCTTTGTATGGAGTAGTAGATTCTAATGTTCCTCCGTAAGAAAGATATGGACCGTACATGTTTGCACAGCTAGACAGACGGACGGACGGATAGACAGACAGACAGACAAGCTGATTCCTATATACACCCCCCCAAACTTCGTTTACAGGGGGTATAATGAGAAGTCGTGTCTGTTAAACACAAGACGACCTTATACTTATTCAAATGAAAATAAACGTTAACATCAGCAAGGCTTGTGAAAATGTAGTTTACAGCAACTTTATATTTCAAGTTTTATCTTATTTTTAGGGATGTCAACGAGTACCCGGGTATAATGAGAAGTCGATGCTCCTATTATACACAAAACTTCGTTTATACAGGGGGTATTCAAATGAAAATAAACCTTAACATCAGCAAGCGATTGTTGATATGGTTGTGTTTGATTACATGCTTGTAAAATTGAAGGCAAAGGCTTGAAAAAAAAAACAGATGTTCATCGTTGCACACAAAACTTTATATTTTACAAATGTTAAACCTTAACATCAGCAAGGCTTGTGAAAATGTAGTTACTACAGCAACTTTATATTTCAAGTTTTATCTTATTTTACTATCAAAGACCAATCAACTGGTCAAATATCAATGCTCACTAAAAGTATCACAGATATGAACGTAAAACAAGAGTTTTCCATTGAAAATGTGTGTCTCAGGAATGACATATCAAATTGTGACAGACAGATAGACTGATGGTCAGCTAGTCAGACTGACAGACAATGGAGAAGTGATCCCTAGGAGTCCCCTTGCTATGCAGGCGACACAACTAGGCACCATTACAGCATATCTTGTACCTGATTCTGAGACTGAATTTTTTCTGAAGTGTACAGTCAAATATTTTACAGAAATATTTTGCTAGAAATAATAATATATCGTATAAGTGGAAATTTTAGCGAGATGCAAATTTAGCGATTTCTACCAAAGTCTGGTATTTTATTTTTAGCCAGAAGTAATTTTAGCGATTTTAAAATGTTTACTAAAGAAGCTATTACAAATAATAAGACATTAATTTTTAGCAATATTCAATTTTAGCGATGTCAGCACCCTCTCTAATAATGCCAAAATTAAATCCTCGCTAAAAATTCTACTTATACAGTATGTTCTTCAAAGTACATTTATGCACAGTAAACAAGAAGTATGACACATTTGATTTTAGATATTATCTATTTTAACCAACTAGAGCTAGAGCAGTATAATCCAAGTGTTGTCCACAGACAGATGGACAAACAAACAGGGTGATTCCTATATCCCCCTTCCAAAAACTTTGATATCAAAATCTTAAACTTAGTAAGAAAATGTTTTTTAGTTCACTGCTTTAAGAGCCATATCAGAAATCTGATTCAAATTGTTCATGTTCCCTTCAGCTGTCAAGTCATTTTCTTCACAGTCAGTGTTAGACCTCTGCCTTTTCACCAATGGCATCAAGATACATAATCAAGGTCTTCCTTCTATGTAATGGACTATCTTCATGCTCTTGAGAATCCTGGCATTCAGATGACTTTCACAAGGTGTTTGGAAAAGTTGTCGTCTGAAGTTGATTCCACCTACAAAAGAAAGATACAAAATCAATCCAACTAACAACTTCATTTAAAACAAGTTCATTTTGACACAAATAATACTCATGCTGAGACAGTGTTTCACAGCCCTGAGCCAAAGTCACACCTTCAATGTCAAGGTCAAGGTAAAATTTGATGGAGTTTTCAGGTCTGTATTTCTATATGCCTCATGGAACAGCTTCATACTTGGCATACAATGCTCCTAATGATAAGGTGGTGTGCCATGACCCTAACTCAATGTCAAACTTCAATGCTAAGGTCACAGTAGACTTCAATGAAATTGTCTTATCTGAAATGCATTTCATACCTGCCTCAAAAGCACAGCTTACATGACACAAATGTGCCTCATGATATCAGTCTTTAACAACCTTTGACAGAAGACCAGGTGAGCAATATGGGCCCATTTTAGGCTTCTTGTCTGGGTTTAAAATATGAAGTTCATAGGTCAAATGGATTTAAGTTATTGAGTCACAATCCTTTCAAGTTTGAAGTTTCCAGGACATATAGCATTTGAGTTATCTCTCAACAAAGAAATGGATGAACAAAGTGATTACCGGTACTCTTTGAGGCTGGGCTCTTATGAACAAGCTGATGCTCAAAGTAGTTCTAAACAATTCAGTACATGTAAAAAATTCAGTACAAACCTCTATTTGTTCCATATGCTTTGAATCTGGTTGTACTTCATGGTTATTTGGTAGTTCACATAGCAACTCATCATCATCATGATTCTCCTGAAAGTATTTCATATCTGTTTACAAATTTACATGACCCTACTGCATATAGTTGCTGATTCTTTATAATAAACAAGCTGATGCTAAAAGTAATTTAAAGCAAGATAAGTTTGTGAAACAGTATGCCCCCAGCGTCAACAAATATAGAAAAGCTAGTTTTAGCAAAAAGATCAAGGTCTAAAGGTTACTGATGTTGGTGTAATCTAAAAGAACTTAATTAGTGGATTATGTATACCAAATATGATCTCACAGTTCAAAAGTCATGGTAAAGGTTAAAGCTGACAACAGATAGACAGAAAGGACAAACAAAAATATGTTCATGCTCTTTGGGCATAATAATTCAGTACATGTAAAAATTTCAATACAAACCTTTATTTGTTCCACATTAATTGGATCTGCTTGTACTTCATGGTTATTTGGTAGTTCACATTGCAACTGATCATCATCATGATTCTCCTGAAAATATTTTAGACCTGTTTACAAACTTACTTGAGCCTATAGCATATATAGTGACTGGGATATGATATAAGACATTAATTATATAAAACTGGACAAAGGGGATACTCCAATACTTGATATCGCGATTACTTAACTTAGTGGAACTCTTTCGCGATGGAGGTAGGGAACGTCTGTTGGCTGGGGACAAATGTGCTATTGAATACAATGCAAGATCGATCATTGTAGAATTTATGAGGACAGATAAGTAAAAAAATCCTGGTGGAATACCGTCCTTAACAATCGCTGAACCAGCCTAATTAATTTTTGAGAGGAGCTAATCCTTCAATGTTACATTTTTTACGATATTTTTAACTAAGCGGGCTCTTCTCATTAAATTTTCATTGAAAATCATGGCATTTTAAAGCTGATAAAATAATCTAAACTTTCCTTATTTGACAATCTACTATTTGGAATTCAATTCTTGGCAATACATTGTACTTTCGGCATAAAATTGTTCAAATCATTCGATTGTCACTACTGTAAACAATGCCATGTGCCCTGGTAATCTCGTGAGATTTGAGCTTTCTCGACTCCCCCGCAAAAGAGTGGTAGTAAGTTAGATAACTGCGAGGTAATCACGATATTACATATTTAGTCTCACATTTTCAGAATTATCGTATTCAGAAATTGTGCCCAACCTGATCAAGGGCTTAGGAGGAATAGCACCCCACCCACTCCTTACTTTTTTGGGAAGTCAAAATTTCCTGTAGTTAAAATTTATAAATCCTGGTTCCCCTCCCCTCCACTTTAAGGGTCAGGAGCAAATTTTGAAACCAGAGTTGAGTCTGTTATCCTAGTTTCCCTTCCCCTTTTCAAATCAATATTAGCAACCTCAAGTTTTGTCATCTTGTTTTAGTGTAGCTGCAGAACTGTAGCTCTCCGAAAAAATATATATTGATAGACCTGAGATAATGAGGTATAGCGGGTATGGCTATGAATTTTAAGAAATATTGTTTGAAATATTACTTATCAAAAGAACACTAATATGCAGACATACACGAGTGGAAATCTACCAATTTGACCTTATCAGTGATTGATGAATATGCTCTAAATAATAAAGTCTGAAATATCTGGCATTTTCCAGTTTTTTTTTTTTTTTAATATTTTCTGTGCCAGGAAAACGTCAGAACCAGCGCCATTACGAAAACTGGAAATTTCGCCATTTCCAGTCAGAGTTGATTTCCCATACTTGGGAACCGCATTAAATGCCGTTGTCACAATTTATCAATGGCACAATGCTTTTAGTACTTGACAATATCAATGAAAAGAAAATAATCACTCATCATTTCGATACAGGACTTGTATATTTTTTTTTAATTTGTAAACGCACGAAATGAAAACAAATCTCGACAGTCAGAGAAAATGTTTCCATCGGATCATATATTTACAAACAAACCATAAAAACTATATTGGTAAGTACTAGAGGCATTGTACTATTGATAAATTGTGAGTTTGACAAGTAATTGCAAGTATCGAAAATACACCCGAGAATGCCGCCTCTGCTTGGAATTCCCAGTTTTCGTAAAGGCGCCGGTTCTGGCGTTTTCCTCGCACGTAAAATATAGAAATAGTTAAAAAGCCAGGAAAACGTCAGATATTTCGGACTATAAATAGTACTTTTCAGTCACCTACAAACTCTTGATGCTGTCATGTCCTCTGTAACCGCACAAGACCTGCTTTATACATCTTTACATGGTGTTTTTCTTCTCCGACTTCTGCTGCAACAGCAACTTTCTGTTCTTTATCAGCAGGAGAGTTCCACAAAAGGGAGATAATCGTTCACGCGTTTTCATATTTGTGGTACATTCTAAATCAAATTATTTGCTATAGAGTACCCAACTACCATTTTTTATTATTGGATTTATAACTTCAAAGCTCGTAGTTTCTATTGCATGTATGATTATGATAGAGTTTGGTTGCGTTTTCGTGTAAAATATTTATAAAAATCATGTTGATTTTACAGCATTTGGTAGAAACAAAGCAAAGTAGGCCCCAATGCTTTAAAATAAACATGGGAAAAATTAAATCTCCCATATATATTGAAATTAAGAAAAACATAGTTTGATTCTGTAATTAATTTTGACAGGGTTATCAATAATCAAATTTCACACTTTTCAAGCATTAAAATCACCGTTGCTATGGTAACAAGGAAGATGTGACCCAAATAACTCATGTTTGAAAGGACATTCATCTATACTTCCATGCACCCAAATATTAAAGCAAAATATTTTTTTTCACATTCCACTCACTTTATATACAATACTCAATGGTTACTGACACGGCCTCTCTATAATCATAAGGAATACTATCTTACGCGAAAAAAACACCATGGGAAGGCGAAAAAATTATTTTCTCGAGCACACTGCCTTGCGTAATTACGCGAAAATAAAGCTCTCATCAATTTGTATCAACTACTGTTTATTTTTTGTTAGTTGTTTAATATGCTCTTGAGAATTTTTTCACTCATATGGAGATGCCACTACTTTTCACTGCAGAGTTGCAAATTTTGATTCATGATTACCGTAACACTTAAGGCCATTGAGCAGTGAGGGATTTTCCGTGCTAGAAATTACTGCAGCACAGGACCTCCGTTTATATGGTCTCATCCAAAGGACTGATCTTTATGTCATGGGATTAGAACAGGCAACACAAGGATAAGTCCTTATTCTGCGACTCTAAAGCAGATTCACTTACCACTGTGCCAAGCTGGGGTGACTACTTCTATCTAGTGTTTGAAGTTTCATAAAAATATCTCTGTTTTTTTTTTTGAAAAATGAGATCAACACAAATTGAGGAGTGCTGAGATAAAGATCATTGGGACTATTAATGTTCGGGGAAAAATTATGAAACAAATGAAAGTTCTCAGCAATACCAGGTATTTATCTTTGTATGCAGTTTGAAAAAAATTTCTTTAACTATTTCATTGAAACTGAATTCAATGCAGGGTGAAAAAAATGGAAAGATAGTAAAATGGAACAGAGAAAAAAAAATTTTCAAAATAAAACTGTCCATCTTTAGAATAGTACTACATCTTATGCACTTACCATTTCCTACTGGCAGCACTGTTCCATTTTTACAGTCTGCATTAGAAGTGCAATTGGATCCTTTAATTGATTCATCCTATAAAAATATATATATATATTGACTCAATCTACAAAAGATAAAAATCAATCTGGGGAATGTTGATATCTCAAACTCAGTGGGACTGAGAAAAACTCTTGGATTCTCAAGAATTGAAGACATCGAGGCTATGATCTTGAATAAGTAGTTGTGACATTCAAATCATTTCTACATATTCATGGTATTCAAGATATCAGTAATCAAGATATCGAAGTTCAACAGTTTTATCAAACTTTATGTATAGAAAGACTCACCTCTGGACATTTGCCAATTGATTGAAAAGGAGTGACAATCAAATTTGTAACTACAAAAAAGGCATTGTTCTCCTGAAAACAAAAATTTATTTATGATAAAGTACAAATTACATAAAATATTTCTTAATAAAATTTCAAAAACTATCATTTGTTACTTTTTCTAGTTGCAGGAAATAGAAATTATTCTTTTTTAAATGAAGATAATGGAAAAACAATTTCAAAGTTTCATACTGGAGCAGCTGGAAATTTAAAGCAAGATATCATTTAATGCTCTTACCCTACATCATTCACAGTATGTTGATTTCTGTTACCTGAGGAGGTACAATGTAGTCTGCCACATCCCAGATGCGTTGGATGTCAGGATGAATTGATTCATCTACCATGACAATGCCCTTGACTTTTGTTGTAACCACACTCTGAACATTGTCAAAGTCTTGATAACCCTTCTTGAAAATGATGGCATACCTACAATATTCCTCATGATGAGTACTTAATGTAATTTTAAAACATAATTTATAATAATTTTAAAAGTTTCTTCATTTTCAATCCATGTGTCTGTTTATTGATGATAAGTGATCAATAGAATACAACATCTGTGATCACATTATCAAAATTTACTGTAAAATTTCAATGCTTATAGCCACAAATACAAACAGCTAAATCTACACTTCATTTGAATATTTTTTTTCTCAAATCATTCAAACTCTCTCCATGCTATATCCTGGATGAATTTTATACTTCAGTTAATTATACAAGCTGAATTTAAGTGCCTGAATTAAGTGATTTAAGTCTCTAACTAAAGATTAATCATTATAATAATGTTATCACAAATGTCAATATGTATCTTTACATCTTCTACATGTAAGCTTCTTCCTGAGACCAACAAACTTTGACACTTTCTCTTTTGAGTTATCATTTGTAATGAATGAAACAAGCTGATGAATATTGAATTTGTATAACTGATAAAGACATACCCGATCACGTAGCCGATTATACAGAGTTGAATAAAACGGTTTATCACACCAACCTTCTTGCTTTTTATGTGAACGATTCGTGGAGTGTCATACTCAAAAAACACGCTTATCGCAGCACTAATATATTTCATTTTAGAGCTTTCCTGTTATACTTTTCTCACATGACATTTCACAACGTCAGAAAAATTAGGAATCCCGAGCTCGATCTAAATAAGTAGAGCAGACGACCCGGTGTAGTGCAGCAACTACTACTAGGCCTATTTACCGATGGTCAAAATAACTAGAGGTAAAAGAAAATCAAATATTCTGTAATGGTAAAATGTATCATCTAAATTTTAATTGGATATCACGTGTTATGAGGGGATAAGGGGTTGTGATTTATTCTAGAAAGGACAGAAACGTAGTGTGATCGCCGTAGCAGCGCGGTGAGATATCGGACAACGTAGTGGGAACGCCGTGAAGACGCACATGATCGCAGCATGAACGCAATGATAGTAGACTGCGCTTCCACGGAGACCTCACGGAGATGTCGCGGAGTCCTTGGAGATGTCACTGCGTTTCTATCGCTCTTTTACGGAGCTTGTAATGAGATTAATCGTCTTGTAATTTTTTTGATTGAGATTACACAGCGTCCGTTGGCGATCACAATGCGCTTTCACGGCGTTGTCAGCCAGCTCACAAAACAAAAGCAATGGCATCAAATTTGATCAGCAATTATTCTAATGTATTTGTTGCACTAGGGGCATTTAAAACATGGAAGAGAAAATGTCACCAGAACTTGTTCTGTTGTTTCACTTAAATTTTGTAGCAACTTTTCAGTGTGTTTATATTTTTTACATTCATAATAAAATCAAAAAAAAAATTTAACAACACATCTGAACGATAAAATTGAAAAAAGACGGAGTTTAATCATAAAACTAATAATAATTTAGTTCTAAATTATTCAAATACGTGTAGAACATTTTTGATTACTAAGAATATTTCTTGACATGATGGGAAGTCTTTTTCATCGTTTAACTTGAATCTTTAAACAAAAATGTTTTCCATTCCTTCTGAATATATATCAGTGGGTATAGAACGCATTGTGAACGTATTGTGAACGCAGTCGGCGCAGTGAGAACGCCGTGAACACGAGGTGAAAACTCCTAACACACCGTGAAAACTCCGCGGAAGCGCAGTCAATCGCCGAGAGATCTCCGTGGGAACGCAGTAGAACGCCGAGAGATCGCCGTAGAATCGCGTCCGTCGCCGTATTGCCGCCGTAACATCATATATCAAAGGAGGCTTCGATATTATTTATTGAATGCTTAGTAAAATCGACACCAAATACAGAAAAAAACGGGATTTTATGCCGGCCTAGTCCTACGAGCTCTTTCCCTTTGCCTATTTTCTTTTTCATTGTTCAATATTTTTTCTCACGCAAATCAACAGTATACAGCGGAATATAGACTGCATGTTTTTTAGAACCATTTCAAGCTTAGTTTGGACTTTCAATAAGGCGTAGCATTCTCGGCGCTACATGATGTTTACCGCCTGTCAAATAGCGAATAAATTCTCATTGGTTAAGAAATTAATAGCATCAGGAACTTCAAATTGTTGTTGACAACGATGACACGACTTAAGCTCCACCTCTTTGCAGGACGAAACAATGTAATTGGCTATTCAATAAACTAATTGGCATTTCCCGAATTTCTATCTTATGTACGAGGGTTGTTCGAAAAGTTCGTGGATGATGTCAATCTTTGTTATATTTCTCACTGGAAATTGAAAATAAGCACAATATATCTGTTTTGTTGATTTGTAAAGTTTCATTCCGTTCGATTCAACAGAAATAGTTTTACGTCGAGAATGTCAAGCCTTACTGAAAGTCCAAACTAAGTTGGAAATGGTCCTATTAATAGCTAGTTTTGTAAACTAATTTTTGATGATAAATATTTTCAATATTTAGACTTTCTTTATATGTCAATATAGCGCACGCTCATTTTGAACATTTCAATGGTGAAAAATAATACCATTATACATTTTTTTAATAAAATATATTTTTAAAAATATAAATATGTGAATAAAAATATATTCTGGGAAAATATATACATACACTAATTTTATCATTATTCATATTACAGGTATTTTTTATCAGTTCAACTTAAAATGAAGGATATGCAGCATGGAGTCTACAGCCATGGTTATTACTTTTGCTCATAGCTTAGAAGTAATTTGATTCTGATCGGTTGTTTGTCCTTAAAAGGATCAAAATGGAGATTGATAGCCCAAATAGTCCTGTTCCTGACTTAAAACAAGACGAAAATGACAATGAAGTGAAACCATTGAAGGAGAATTCTTGTACTTCTCAACCTGGTGAAGGAAAAAAGGGAGAGGAAAATGACAGAGAAAACAAGGTACCCATTTCAAGTGTCAGAAAAAGTGAACAGAAAATTAAAAAAGGTAAGAGATTCTTAATTATTCAGCTTTACTTAACTGAATTAGGTAAATCTATAATAAGAACCATTCAAAATTTTCATTACTTTTGACAGTGAAAATACCCAATCATATGAATACGACTGACGGAAAGAAGAAATGTAAGAGGAAGAATCATTCGGGAAAGTCTGAGAGAACAACATGTAAAGTTACAAAGTCAAAAATCAAGATTGAAAACAATGGAAACAGTGACACAATTTCTGCCGCGAGATTCAAAACAAAATTGCAAAGATTTTGCAACGTAGTGCAAGTAAAGAAATCAAGGAAAGGAAAATTAGAGTTTTTTACAGGCTGTATACCAATTTTCTTGATGTGTGGTACAGAGGAATTTCTAATGTTAAACGAGACTGAGGAAGACAACGTAGTCTTTTTCCTTATCAAAGAAAATGGCCAAATTATTTCTATTCTTGCAGATTTTCTTCTTCCTGGAAATTACCTTATAAATAGATTGTTTTCTGATTACAAGTTTGACTCTTGTCCAGATGACTTTATGAACTTGTACCCTGAAAGCAGGTTATCATTACAAGTAAAACTTCTGTCTCCATATTTATCTTCCACAACGGACCCATTTGAGGGTCACCATTTTATCATGATTGGTCATATTAAACAGGAGCCTGTTCATTACATTGTTGAAGAAAATTCTGACCTGAAAGCAGTGGTGGAAGAATTTGAACAAGAGAACTGGGAGAGTTGTTTTGAATCCTCCGTGGAAAACAATAAATGCGACCACCTGTTTTATTGCATGATAATGTCTGTGTTGTGGAAGATGAATACACAGATTAATGTCCGAAAGAGAAAATTTAAAATGAGGATACAGTTTGTAGACGAACTGAAGAGAAAAAAGAAAAAGTCTGGTGACAATTTAAAGACAAGTGATGTTGTTGAGGTAACAGGGGAAGAAGAGGAGGAAGATATTTCTGAACATGAAGACGATTCTACATGATAGGAAAATCAATAGCGTATTAGAAGGCAATTTAATGTGTACTGATAGTGTCTGTATGGGGTAAGTTTACATGTGATGAAATAAAAAATTATTCAAACTGTTTTTATCATCACCCACCTTTGAAAAATATATCTGTACAAATGTGATTTTTTAATATCTTATATATATATATTTTTTGAAATACCCGAGCAATTTCTGGTAAGCTAGGTGTTTTTTTTAATTCCTTTTTGATATTTTTATGCATGAAAAGATAATTGCGAGTTGCATTCTGTACTTAGTAAAGTAAAAAATGTCCTGCCTTAGCTTACATGTACATATGTAAGATAAGTCTTTTATGGACTTTGCAAGTATTCAGTTTTTCTTAACTGAAGAGTTGCTTATTGCAATATTTATCATAGCTTTATATGACGCATAAAGCTAGATCTATTTAATTTATTCTGAATCTTAACGTTCTATATTCTACTCATTGCTTTTATCTTTATGTTGCATCAGCGTATGTGGTCTTGACTCTATCTTCTTATTGTATGGTGTTTGCTTTTACCTTTTTGCTGTATGGTGTTTGATTTTATCTTCACGTTCTATTTCTATAAAAAGAAATTTAAAAAAAATACTAGTATGTTCAATTTTCACTGCAATGTATGTAATTAAAAGGTTATTGACTCAATTACATGTAATAATTCCTCTAACTGCCCTTACATGTCATGGAAACGCTTTTATTTCTGAAGGGCTAGTATCAGATTTTAAAAAGTCTATATTTCCCCCGTCAAAAAGAGTAAGGCTGGTGTATCAATCTGTGATAAGAAAATAGTTGCCCCTAAAAAAATGTCATCTGTTTGAACTAATGCATGTATAGCACAATTAATGATCAAGCGGATGTCAGTATGTATGCCTCATTAATTTCTTTGATATACATTAACAATTAAAAAAAATGGACCTCTGCGTACCTCAGTAGCTTTAAATGATCATCTATGTTGGTTTTTGGTTTTGAACATATATTATTGAATAAATCATAAGGATTGGAAACTAGTACCTTCAACTGAGGATTTCCTCTTCTTATAACTAAATGTCATACATGCAATTGAAAAACATGTAGTATATAGAAATATAAATTCAAAAAGTGATGCAAGTGAAATATTTGGTCAGTAACATAACAATTTAAAATCTACAGGATTCATCAATAAACTTATGCACAGCAGCAAAAATATCTTCGCTAGTCAAGGGTTGACAATCCGCTCCGCTCCTCTTTGAGAGGAGCGGATCGTCACCCTTGGCTACCGAAGATGCAATAATATATGTATTAGTTTCTATGTTGCTTTTCATATCCGACTGTCATCCTAAAGGATAATACACGGCCAAACTAAACAACCACGATAATTAAGGATCTACACTTTGCTAATAGTATTAATTCAAATTCAAGAACTTTTAAAGCTAGGGTGCGACCTATTTCATAATTTTGAGAAACAACATTTAGCTTGGTGAAATGAGGTATATGGCCATTTTTTTAAGAAGCGCAGGGGGGAAAAGAAAATAAAGAAAAAGGAGTTCTGTTCAGTTATAAATACGAATGTTTTTCATCGAAGGAAAGCAAATTATTCATATCACCTGCTGTCTTTGAAAAACGGTTTTTGATATCTTCTTGACCCCCTTGAAAATATGTATATAGGTATCACGGTTGCTCTTTGCATAAATTCGTATTGAATTTATTACAACACTTCTTTCTTCAATATTCTATTTTAGCCGTAATGTACGGTATTGATAATATGTTTCACAACCATTAAAGATAGACCACTGGCACATTCGGTTTATCGCGATCGGTCATTATGCAAGTTTATAATTTAGTAAATAATTGTTCTTTATGAAATAAAAATTGGGAGCGAATATTTTCCCGGATATCGGGAAATAAACACTAGTCTGGCGAGTTCTATTTTACTGTCTTTTTGTTTATATGGAATAAAACAACTTGATCATATATATTCAAATATTTATGGACATGGCAATTAGTAGATTACACCTTTCATTGATCGTCTTAATTACAATACAAAGCAATTATAACGATTGTTCTGATTCTTTAGAAATTATTCAAGATATAATCGATGAGGGTGAAAGTGTAACATTTTACATACAGTTTACTAGTACTCTGCAGAGAATTGCATTATTTGTTACGCTTTGTCTGAGTATACGGGGGAAAAATCACAGCTCTGCCAATATAACAGGTAAATATCAAATTTATGCTGCAATCTAATGTAAAGATTTATGATGAACCTTACTGACAACACATGCATACTGAATTATTTTATTTTTAAGCAGAAACAAATTGAGATTCAATATTTAATTTTCGATTTGAAAAAAAATTCTTTAAAAAGTTTCAAATTATGCTGTGCAAATGATGTATGCATTTAAAGTTATTAATTCCTTGAAATTAAATCATTATAAAAAGATGTGTTTGCTTTCTTAACGTCGCTTCAAGCATGTTTATTCCTATTGAGATGTACCTTGATGGTCTGCAAATATATATGGCCATAGGAACTCTCCCCACAAATAATTTTCCCGATATATAGAATTTTATAGAAAACCTCTACTATATGCTTGTGCCCCATGAAAGTGCCCCTGAAGTGAAAATGTCCTACGGGCTTGGATATTCGGCGCTTTTGACCTTTGAGCAGTCTGGGATCTTTTTCGTGCCAGATCTTACAACGATACGGGACCTTGTTTACACGGTCTCATCCGAAGGACTGTTGTCCGCGTTACGTAGTGGATTCAAATCCCCAAAGAATGGATCAAAAATCGATTTCAGATCGCATGAATATAACGGCCTCAGACAAAGAGATTTGTACTTGCTCCACCAAAAATGCATGTTGCTGTTGCACCAATCTTCTCAAGTCAAGGGTTTTGATCCTCTCGATCCGCTCTCAAAAATCTTGACTGAGAAGTGAAGCAAAGCGGACCAAAAACCCTCGACGTGGGAAGATGCTGTTGCACCCAGTATTTCGTTTGTCTATTTGATGGATGGAAAAGAATGATTTCCCCTGTATTTGATAATCAAGATACATATTTACTATCAACAAACAATTTTTGATGCAAGTTCATTGTATGTTATTGATATGGAAGCGAGTTCAACGAGAAATATTGGTTCCTGTTCTCTAATTCGTTGGAAGGCTAGTGTTTCTATTTGAAAAAAAATGAAATAAAGTACAAAAACGAATACAAATTAATTAATCACATTTAAACTTTACACATCTCATCATATTGATTATCTATTTGAAGAATATTTTGTACAAATTAATGTTAGCATGCTAGTTTAATTACATGTTACTAATCAATGATTATTATACACAACAAATTTGTTTTAAAACACATTTTCTTGATTCAGATAGTACGAGCACAATTTATATCTGATAAAAAGTCGGAAAATTGATTGTGATACAGGATTCTGCGTATCAAAATACAAAATAGTTTAACATATACATGTATATTTAGTTAATTATTTACACACATCTTTTACTTTTCGAATTTAAAAGGGTATTGAAAGATGCATCATGTATGTATGTTTTATTATTGGTATTTATAAGCTCTGATAGTTTTTTTTTTTTACTTTGTATAACATTTTTCCCCATAGAAAGCATGTCGGATATTATTACACTTGATGTTGGAGGAAAATTTTTTAAAACAACGCGGAAAACTCTTATGAATTTTCCATCGACTCGTTTGGGAAAGCTGGCCTCTGGAGTCCACAATCTGGATACTTCGCCATTCGATAGAAATCACATAATCTTTTCAAACATTCTGGATTTCTACAGACACGGCGAACTTCATCTACCAACGGGCATGTGTGCTGCTGTTATAATCAAGGAGTTAGAGTACTGGGAAATAGACCAGAGTCATATTGCTGAATGCTGTCTGAAAATCCTGACAGAATTCGAAGAGAGTCTGCAAAAACGAATAGAATTGAAGAAGAGTTTAGATGACTCAGAATTTGATTACACCTCTAAAGAATTGGAACAGAGCAAAACCAATCACGTCCTCAGACACATATGGTTGTTTTTAGACCGCCCTAATTCATCCAAATTGGCATTTGTAAGTGTTATTTTTGCATTTTTTTTTGCCTTAAGTTTTAAGAATTTTTTTGAAAGATCTCAGTTTCATTTTTGCTTTATAATGAAAAAATGATGATACAAGGCTGTTCTACATGTATGAAATGATTTTTATTTTCAGATGTACAGCCTTTTGTTCATGCTGATTACAGTATTATCTGTAGCCTTGTTCTGCATGGATACGCATCCCTATTTTAGAGACCAGATCCAGACTTTGGAAGAAATTCGAGCACTTATGAATTTTACTGATCTGTTCGACGATGTAAATTTTGATAACCCGAAAGAAGTTGTTTTTGTCACAACACTTACTAACCCCGGAGTGTACAACCTACAGATTGCTTGCTTGGCGTTCTTTACCCTTGACCTTTTAATTCACTTTGGCTCATGTCCTGCAAAGAGAAAGTTTTTCCGGTCGCCACTTAATTTCTTAGACGGGTTTTTAGTCTTCTCTATGTGGACAACAACTATCATGGAATTTGAAGAAATATGGAGCGCTGGAAGGATAGCGGGTTTCGTATATATAGTCTTTAAGCTTTGTTCCGTTTTCCGCATGTTTCGACTTTTACGGTTAATTCGTCAACACAATGGTCTCAACATGCTATTTATGGCAATAAGAAGCAGTAAATGGGAAATAGTACTTTTACTTGTGGCTTTTTTGATTTTCTCAACGTTTTTTGCGGGATTTATATACTATGCAGAGTACAAGGAACCGACTACATTTCCGAACGTTTTTGATAGCATATGGTGGGCCATCATTACCATGACCACCGTGGGGTATGGTGATGAATATCCAAAAAGTGTTGGTGGGAGAATTGTCGGAACGTTTTGCGCTCTTTCGGGAGTCCTCATAATTGCAATGCCAATTGCTATTATAGCGTCCACATTTAGCGATTTTAACGATAAAAACAAAGTAAGACTGAAGATTCGGTCGTTTAAGACGCGCAAAAACAAGATCGATGTTTTTGAAATGAAAAATGAACCAAAGGAAATGTCATCGTTAAATTCAAAGTTTTAAAGCTTTGATTTGCAAAATAAAACAAAACAAGCTTTTTGTCGTAATGAACAATAAAGCAAAAACTCTGACTTGAATGTTTGACACATTGCTTTCGACAAACAAAATATTTATTTTGACATGAAATATACAACTATTTAATATGAAAATATACAAGTATAAGTTATGGTTATCATGTATATTATGTCAAATATTAGACGGTCCGAGGCGCATCTAGCGCCAATGTCGAACACTCTCATTGTTAACTTATTGGACACCTAGAGGTTAACCGATGTCATTCTGTGTTGGTACGTGACATTACCCCTGTTCATGCCAGAGATATTCTGTTATTTCGGAGTTTACAGTAAATAATTTTCTCGATTGAAGTAAGCAAAAGGATCTGAAGAATTTTAAACCAACCACTCCTGAAGCTTGATTTTTTTTCAGAGAAAATTCGTGAGATAATTTCTGATATTTTTCTCTAATGTGCAATAAAAGATTCCGCAAATGTGCGCAGGTTTGAAGGATTTTACTCCAGGCATTATTTAAAAACAACGACGGACACTTGCTCAAATAATGTGCAACTGACAGGGCAACTGGTCACCACTAACGAAAATACAAGTTTACATCACATAATTATTTGATATTTGGTTAGTGATATAGTTCAAGGAAGAGAAATTGCTGTTCAGCAAAGCAGAAAAAAAAAAAAAAAAAAAAAAAAAAACACGATGCACATGATTCTTCATTTGTGTCCCCAAATTCTGTGAATGTTCCCTGTACAATTTGAAATACATGTATATCAATTAATTAACAGTGAATTAATGAATTTAAAGTTCGGTGTCACGGATTCCTATACATTTTCTCTGAGACATGTATTTCACCATATTAATTATCCATGCATATTTCATTGGAATTGTGTTTTGAAATATTTATAATTTACGCTGCTAATTTTCTACATTGCTCATATTAAATGTTTGATTTATCAGAGAGAGTGCATGCTTTCAGTGCTGTTTATTTCTCTGCGTTGCTCTTTGTTTCCACTTCAATGGCACTTGTAACGGCATATAAAATAAGTTGAAACCTATTTGACACTTACGGGTAACTTATTGCACGGAGTGCAAGACAATAAGATATTTACTGGATCACGTTAAACATAAGCGACGTCACAAAAAATGGATTGAGGGTATTATTAAAATTTGTTCGAAGCATTGTTGTTAAAAGAATATTCACAATTTTCAATCGTCAATCCTCAAAGCTTATCCACTGCTAAATGGTAAAAGGGGTAAAACTAAAAACATACAAAGTATAGTAAAAACAGTGAAATACCAATTGTGTTTTGTAGAGAAGTAGCTGTGTTTCAATTTTCAGAACAGTTACTCTATCATATCAACGATTGAGTTTACTTTTACCTAAAACTCCCCCTAAAATATTCATTCAAATTTCTACAACCAGAAACAATGTTTTCGTATTAATTCTTTTTAAAAGTGTCTGTTTAGTGTCAATTTTTTGTAAACACTCACTCGGGTCCTAAAATTTAATCTATGTGCCTTGAATGACAATAACAATGACAGAGATGAAGTACAGTGTTACATCTGAATGATTCTATCATACTTGTTCACAAATTAAATTGATCAAGCTTTCTTATATGCTGTTTACATTTAGCTGAAACTTTAAAAGTGACTTTTTAAAGATGAGCATTTTTCTAAGGACTTTGCACATTTACCATTCTCGTCTTGGTTTTGTCGAAATGTGGCGCCGTAAAATGAAATTGCTGCCTAAATAAATCATGCCAAAAGATAGTGTCCTCCACAAAAATTTGTTGTTTTTTCAATTAAATTTTTTGTAGAGGGCAATATGATAATAAATTTATGTTTACAAGTATCCGTTAAATTAGTAAATTGTTACTATTGAACAGAAAATTATTTTACATTTACGGTCTAAAACTTTCAAATTTTAAGATGAGGGGTATCTTTCATGATGCTAGTTTTCAGAAAGTAACACTTAGAAAATGCCAGCTCTTTAACATGGAAACCAGTCGAAAAGATAAAAACTACTGTGTTAACTTGTGCTTTAGAGCCATGTTAATATATAGAACATATGGAAGGTTCATGAGCTGTACTGAACTGTACAGTACTATTTCTGTGTCTGAACAAGGCAAAGAACTGCTTTGCAAAAGAATGGATACAAAGACGGTTGCATTTGACGAGAACCCAGTGAAAAACAATCTGGGAACTATCACAACCAAGAGTTATTAAAATCTTTGCAATTAATTTGTGTGAATTATGTCTTGAGTAAGTAAAATAAAAATAAAATTTAGTTATAAAACATATTAAAGGTATATTTTTGTTGCCTTGTTACACAAATTCACAATGAAACAATGTGGCGTTAATTTGTGCAAAAAAACCATGTGAGCTTAAAAATTGCACGGAGCTGTATATATGGAAGATAATGCGTTAAAGAACATTTTTAAAGCTCAAAACTTCATTAAAACCATATATACTAATGAGGAACAGAGCAAACACGGACCTCTAAAAAAACGTGGGATCAGGTGCCATGGATGAATGGGCATCCCATGCAAACCTGCTACATCCGCAGTGTGCTCCTTATCATGATCGGGAAATAACGGAAAAGTCCGTTGTCAGCCTAATACTGTAAATACCTTTTTATTCGCCAGAACTTTATTTTTTGCGTAATTTCGCGGGACGGTACGTATGCTCGCGAAAATTTCATTCTCGCGTATAACAGAATTTCTAAAGATTATATAGAGCAATGACTACAATTCGTGAAAATTTTTGTCTCGCTAATAAAGAGTCACTGACTATCTCGCGAAAATAAGGTGTCGCGAAAATTAAGTGATCTACAGTAATTAGTATTAAAATGTCAGTCATCCTTTGCCTCAGTGATAAATTGTATTTGCTGACAAGGTCATTGCATCAACTATAAAAAGTCTTTTTTTTTCTGCCTTCTTAGGATTGTTATATTTTACGAGGGCTGTTCAATAAATAATGTCCTCGGTGTTCGGAGAGAAACAACAAAAAAAAAAAAAACACTTTTCAATGATTGTATTGAATGATCAAATTCTCTTTAATACTTTCCTTGAATTGAAACACATGTATGTAATTTTTTTCCCAATTCCTTATTAAATAAACGTTACATAGGTTGTTGTTGGTTCTGGTCGCCAAGGAAGATATTCATCCTTTGATACTCATTTCATTATTTTTCATGATTGAAATGTACCTTCTCATGTGTCTATATAAGAGAAACATAAAATGCTTTTAACATCACATATTTCAGTGAATATTTCTTTGGGATTCTTACCAAGTTTTACAACAGCTTTAATGAAGTTTCTAACTTCACTCTCGCTGTAACTGATTCTTCATGATTTTTCAAATGCCGTGTCTCGAATACGAGGGTTGATCCAAAAGTTCGTGGAATTTCTTTTTAAAATTTTATCGTGATTTGATGAAATCAATCAACAGGCATATTCATAATATAGAATCATAATGCAACAATATTGGAAAATTTCACTTCTTTCCAATTACCAATAAGGTCACACGAGCTTTCTGAAAATTGATAGCTGGGAAACCCGGGGGAGACTTCGACGTAATGTCAAGTTAGATATGTCACGTCACGTTATAGAAGCATCTCGCCCAAATGTCCAATTATAATATGTAATTCTACAAAATGCTGCCTTTTTCTCCGTTTTTTCTCAAGAAAAGCCTGATCGAGTATTTCAGCTTCTCACAATGATACAAATTGATGAAATGTGGTCACATATGTTGCATGTTGACATAATAATTTGCTCGTCAAAATGAATTTTGTGGAGATTACAAACAGTATTCAAGCTCAAAAGTTTATTAAATATTACAAATTTTAAAATAGAAGCGTAGCATGTTGACATAAATAAGTTGCATGTTACCTTATTAAAGTTGCATGACATAATTCTCTTGCATGTTAACATAAATTTCTTGCAAGTTAACGCAAACGGCTATCAATTATTAAATATTCAATCATGAGGGAAAGCCAAGCTTATTTCATCTGATTCCCATGTTGTATTTCATAGAGTTCAGGACATTATTTATTGAATAGCCCTCGTGATGCTATGTTCAGATTGCAATTAATCACTTTTTAACGCTCATATCAACCCTCTTTGGGAAGTTTGAAACAATCTGCCATGGCCACTCATCGTCTTCCTTTCCTCTAAGAAAACGTCTTGTGCAATATTTGTAAATGAACATCCCATAAACTACATGTAATGGTGTGATATGATTCAGCCAATTGTCACTCATTCTTATCAAGCTTTAAAAAATCCTTGCGATCTACCTTTCTGATATTCATGTAATATCTAAATGTTACATTAAGATTGAATAAATTATATACCGGTATTATACCGTTATTTCCCGATCATGACAAGGAGCACACGGCGGGTGTCACCGGTCAGTAGTATTTGCTTACTCCTCCATCCCACCTCTGATGTTTTGGAGGTCCGTGTTTGCTCTGCTCCTATTTTGTATTGTTTTATGAACATTTGATCTTGAATACTGTTCGTTACCTCCATGTTTCATTCACCATCGTGCTAAAGACACACGGCGGGTGTGACCGGTTGGCAGGGATGCTCACTCCTACATGGCAAATGATCCCCCCTGATATTTTGGAGGTCTTTGATGCTCTGCTCAAAGTTTTATTGTTTAAAGAACTTTTCAGCTTGAATACTAGCTGTACATAATTCCCATACATTTATTTCAAGAAACAGATTTCAGTATTTAACTGTTGAAAATGAAATAAAATTAGCTTGGATTTTTTTTAAATTACTATCTCTGAATAATTAAACACGTCAACAGTCAATCTGCATCGAACACTGACTGAAATGTGTGGAGAAAACGGACTGTACATTATTTAAGCATGAAATTACAGGAGCAGAGCAAACATTAACCTCTAAAACATCAGAGGTGGGATAAGATGCCATGGAGGAGTGAGCATCCATTGCCGAACGGTCACTCCCACTCGGCACACCTCGGCCGATTCGTACCTCATCGTAGTCCACGGAATCAGCCGAGGTTTGCCGCGTGCGGCCACTCACGCTATGTGCTTTTGTCTTGATGGGGAAATAAAAAACGGAAAAATTCTGTGTGTAAATATAGTGGCTTAATAATAAGTATGAAAAACGTCAGTCAGCATTTAACTTATGATTGATTGTTTTTGCTGACAAGGTCACTGTATCGACCTTAGAACTTTATACGAAATGATGAATTTAAACGAGATCTCTGATATTCTGATATTCTTGTTTCATCAACTTCTTTGTCAATAACTTACCTCGTTTTAGAAATTGTTCATACGTAGAGCATGCTCTTGCGTATCGAATCAACTGAGAGATTTAAACATTGTATTCAGGTATGGAGGTGATAACCTTGGTATTTTGCTGCATAAGTAAGGGACGTTGACGATTGAAAAGTTAAAGTCATCACGTTTATATTAGATTACCATAAACTATTTTTCTAGTAAATTACAGATATGTCAGACTATGTGGTATCTTTTATTTCGAGCTCATCGGGATATATCGTGTCGACATAAGAAAATTACGTTATACATATATAACACTACTCATATATTTTTTTCTATTAAATCAATGAACCTATCCAAATGAATAGAAGAAAGGAACACATG